GCCAGGGGTTACACAGAACACCAGCAGTCCGCTGGTAAAGACAGAGCCCACTTGTATTGCCATAGCAGCCTTTGGGCCTGAGAATGGTCCCATGCCAAACTCACCTGCCCTGCCTCCATAGAAGCCATCACATATCTGGTTCTGCCAGGTATGTGGCGAGAAATTCTTCCTTTTCCTCCAAAGAACTTTCCACAGACCTTCTGAGTCTTTTATTTAAATCACAGTTCAAGTGTGCAGTCATAAGCTAAAAACCACTCAAGTCTTCGGGAGGGATAATTTTTCTCAACAACTGCTTTTGGTTTACTTTTGGTTAAGTCCAATGGCTTTGCCCGTGGGATATACAAAACTCTTGACACAGCCTAACAACCCCAGCAAACTCTCAGAATCCAATTAGTAAATAAATTCCATTGTAGTTTAAGGAAAAACCACTACCCTTCACACTGAAATAGTAAATGATACTGTGGGAACATTGACGTATATCCCAAATAGGCCATCAACAAAAGGCAAGATTGCCACTCCTGAAAGTCCTCTGCCCTCAAAGATTGGAATTTGGGGAGGATGCATTTGGAAATGATTTTTTTTCCAGTAATGACAACATTCAGTACCACATAAGAAATGAAATTGAAGCATTGATCTTATTTCTCAAATACAGGATGGCTTCGATATTAAAATTAACATATAAATTTAGCATCCATCTTATTTCCGACTCACTTCTGCTGAGTAACTGCATATATAAAGAATGAATCACTGAAACAGTGTGCAGTGAAAATCAAATTCATTTTTCAAATATGTCCATTCAAATGAAGTCAGAACCTGTTTTCTGGGCACCCAACAAATGTTCCCAAGATGCTCTCTCTCCCACCACCTCCTACCTTATCTAGTCTTAGGGCAAGCAGAGAACCTTGGGAGGTGAGTCCTTAAAGAGCAAATCCCATAATGTATAATTGCTGTACCGCTCACCCTCCACTCTCGTCCTGTTTTTATAAATTTTAAATGGTCTTAGGCTCTTATGAGCCTGTTGAATAACTTGACAGCCCGAACTAGGGGTCCAGAATCACTGCCCCCTTTCCCTGGAAACTCCCCAGGTTGCCCTACTAATTGCAACCACAACCATATACCTTACAAATCTCTTGCTTCCCAATTCACCCCCATCCCCATCAACAAGAGTGTTATTTCTTAAAACTCAAAGCTCCGGGGCAAAACCTATTCGCAGATGTCCCTAGTAAACTGGGAGTCATGGAACAATTGGAAGGATTACCACCACCAAAAAATCTAGCCCTCCTCTTAGGGAAAAGAGTAGTACATTTATTTATGCTATTATTAATATCAGGTCCTTTGCCAATCACAAGTTTCCAGAAACCCAATAATTGACACTGACACCAAAATTATTTGAACCAGACCTAGAGTATGTATTGAGTTACATATTGAAGTTTATCCTTGCCATAGAAAAGTAGGTAGGAGTCGGGGAGGGAAGGTTTAGAAATCTCAGCATAGAAGTTTATGCCCTCAGCCCTTTCACCTGGCACAGATCTAAGAAAAAAGCCCAGGGGTGTGATGAAGAGGAAAGTCATTCCCAAATCTTAGCGAGTTTACAAATTACCTGGAGAAGATGATTTTTTAAAAATCTACTACTTGGGATACCAGGGATTCTGACTCAACAAGTTAAGTCCAGGAATCTACACTAGAAATTAGGCATTTGGTGCATGGACCACACTTTGAAACAGAAGGTTCTAAAACAACATGACTAACCCACCCACATACAGCGTCATAGATGAACAGAGCATTTGCACCCAAACTAGGACTTGGCAGACCCTCACCAGAAAGGAAGAGAAGCACTGTGTTTAATGTGGACCAACTTTCTCTAAGACTGGCTTGACACACAGGTCAAACATCACTGAAAAAAACTGGAAGTGTTCAGCCAAACACCTAGATGTGTTTTAGTCAGATGGAATTTAGCCGGCAGCTGGTTAATTTTGTTCTTTCATACAGATGTCCAGTTTCATGGAAAAGAGTAACTAAGTGCCCACGGGCAGATGAGAATTCATTTCCCCTGAATTCTACATGCTGTGGCAGGATGGTCTTTGTGAGCTGAGTTAGAATCAAAGCGGTTTTGTCACTTTAACCAGAGAAGGCTCAACCGTCAGGACTCTGAGGGAACAAAACTGAGTGCTGGAATATGGGAATCTTAACAACTAACTTCTGATTTCTGACCCCTGACCACACTTAGCCCACCGAAGCAAACATTTCTTCAGAAGATTATATTGAAGATCAAACACACCTATGCTAGCCCACAAATAAACTGCTTTACAGATAATTCCATTTTCTTGGCCATCATAAAAAGAGGTAATGGTGATTTGTAGGCGAAATCAAGCTATAAGAACACCTTATCAGTGAAGCTTTGTCCAGTTTGGGTGGTTCAACCTAAAGAAGTAGTATCTGAGAACAGACTTTTTAACATATTGGTTTATGTGGTGTGTTATTGTTGCTTATTAAAGAACTATAGGTAAACTTTTGACAGCTTTCAACATCATATGTCTTAGGTAGGTCCTGACATCATCACATCATTGCCACATAAAATTTTCTGGAAGTAGGCCTGGTGCCGTGGCTCACGCCTATAATCCCGGCACTTTGGGAGACTGAGGCTGGAGGATCACTTGAGCCCAAGAGTTTGAGACCGGCCTGGGCAACATAGCAAAACCTCATCTTTACAAAAAATAAAAAATGAGCTGGGCAAGGTGGCACACACCTGTAGTCCTGGCTACTTGAGATGCTGTGGTGTAAAGATCACCTGAACCCAGGAAGGAGGTCGAGGCCATTGCACTCCAGCCTGGTCAAGAGTGAGACCCTGGCTAAAAAAAAAAAAAAAAAAAAAAAAGCCTCAGATGTTTTTAGAATCTTGGGGCAAATTACTCTCCCCTCCCCTCCATTCCCTCACTTTCTTTCTTATGTAAATACTAGTGTTTAAACATAACCCTAATGACAAACCATATTTACTTTTAAACACTCTGGTATGTCACTATGTCAATTAAACACTTATTAATCCAGCTACCAAAAGGAAATTTTTTCCCCTCAAAGATTCATCATTCTAGATAATAAAAATAAGGAGCTTCTTTTGTTTTAAATATCCCCTTTTCAGCCAGGTACGGTGGCTCATGCCTATAATCCCAGCACTTTGGGAGGCCCAGGCAGGCAAATTGCTTGAGCCCAGGAGTTGAGACCAACCTGGGCAATATAGCAAAACATCATCTCTACAAAATAATCAAAAAATTAGCCAGGTGTGGTGGCACAATCCTGTAGTCTCAGCTACTCAGAAGGCTAACGTGAAAGGACTGCCTGAGCCTAGGAGGTTGAAGCTGCTGTGAGCTGTGAGCATCATGACCATGCCACTGTACTCCAGCCTGGGCAACAGAGTAAAACTCCACTCAAAAGAAATAAAAAAATAATAATAAAATAGCCGGGCTCGGTGGCTCAGCCTGTAATCCCGCGCCTTTGGGAGGCTGAGGTGAGAGGATTGCTTGAGCCCGCGGGTTCGAGACCCGCCTGGGCAGCGAGACCTCATCTCTACAATAAATAAAAAAATCAGTCGGGTGTAGTAGCGCATGCCTGTAATTCCGGCTACTCGGGAGGCTGAGGCGGAAGGATCGCCGGAGCCCAGCAGGTCGAGGCTGTGGTGGCCGGGAGCGGCTGCTGCACTCCAGTCTGGGCGACCGAGTGAGACTCCAACTCAAAATAAATAAATAAATAAAATAAAATCCCATTTTCCCTTAGAACCCATTCGAGGCTGAGGAGCATTTCGGGCTGAGAGGACTTGCCCTTTTCCCTCCCAGGACTGACAAGCCCTTCAAGACTTATTCCTGCATTGGAAGCTCTCTCTGCATCCTTGTCATGTAGAGGCTTTTATTTATTTGCTTATTTACTTTGCCTTCCACATCTGTAAGTTTATCGTCCGACCTAAGCAGTCATCTTATCTTTCAAGCACTCTGAAAAATGGAAACAGTAAGTCAGAGAAGTGGCTGGCGTGGGTACCACTGAATTTTACTGTTTGAAAATTCCCTTTTAAAAAATATCTGAGTATCCGGGCTCGGTGGCTCAGCCTGTAATCCCACGCCTTTGGGAGGCTGAGGTGAGTAGATTGCCTCTGCCCTGGGCAGCGAGACTTCATCTCTATAATAAATCAAAAAATCAGCCGGGCGTGGTAGCGCATGCCTATAATTCCAGTTACTCGGAAGGCTGAGGCGGAAGGATCGCCGGAGCCCAGCAGGTCGAGGCTGGGGTGGCCGGGAGCGGCCACTGCACTCCAGTCTGGGCGACTGAGTGAGACTCCAACTCCAAAAAAAAAAAAAAAAATTAAATTAAAAAATGAAAATAAAAAATATCTGAGTGAGAAGTTTACCATATACACCACCACTAAGAATGCTTTTAAAATAAAAGGGGAGGGGAAAAACTAGTTTTCAATGTTTTGAAAACAAACCAGAATGGCATCTTCTGCAAGTGAGAATGAGGGAACGCATGTCTATATTCTGAATGAAAAGCTGCTGAACCTAATTAATAGGAGCAACAGTTCTTATTTATTGAGTACTTTCTACGTCAGATACTGGACAAAGCACTTTCCTTATTTCCCATATTCAACTGTACATTTTGGTGGTTTTCCATTTTTACTGTTTTTAGTGAGATTCTCCACTACAATCCCTGCTTATTTGAACTCACGGTTAGGTAACTTGGACAATGAACATAAAAATCACATTCTCTTACACACAGTAGGCATTCAATAAGTATCTGTTGAAGAAACTAATGGACAGAGGGAATGAAGTAACACTATTCTTGAACAAATTATCTGTCTTTCTGAATGCAGCTCTGAAACTCTGCCATTCATATTTCTCTGGAATGTCTCATTTAACGGATACCTTGATTCCTGAACTATGCATTAGTAAGTAGCTTTTCAATAAAGTATCTCTTTTTAGACATCCTCTTTCCACAAGTAGAAATGACATAAACCAAGATCATCTCCTTAGTTTATTTTTTTTCTAGAGTCCTTAGCATGCTACATTAACCTGACAAAGCTTAATCTTGTGTTCATTTCACAATACATTTCATGCAGTTCACAGCTGTGATTGGTTTTACATCGACATTACACATGTTTCGATTCAGCCATGTGAAAAGATAATTCTTAATGGAGTTTGTCTCTGAAAACTGTCCAAGCTTAAATAAGCATATGAGCAGTTCACCCTATTCTTAAGTGCATCTCTTTAAAATGCAAGAAGGATTTTTAGCATAAGAATATAACGTCCCTGTTATTATAGTCCATTTGCAACTGAACCACTTACTTTAGGTTTCACATATCCTGAGGAATCCTCTTTCACAAAATTGCATTCAAGTATATTAATTTATGTAACATTCCAGGTTGAGTTTAGGTGCAAGGCTGACCTTCAGCTTTACATCCCCAAATGAATCTTCCACGAACCTAGCCTTCCCAAGACTACTCTTAGCATAAGACTCTCTTTTATAATAAACATTCAGCACTAAAGCCACAGAGCAGAGCTATTTGGCATTTTCCGGTGAAGTGCAAGAAGTTAAATAAGTTATGTTTTTATTGCTAATGTATAGAATCAAGCACAGTCACTTTGTCTAACAGAAGGAAAGGATATACACGAGATGAGGCCTCTCCTCAGGCGTCCCAGGGTCCAAATGCACAGAAAATGTCACCTGGCCACCCCCCATCTAGTACCACTTTAAGATGATGTGTTGAGTATTCTGGAGTCTGAGGAGTCAGACCTCTCATCATAGTCATCTTCGGTGTAAATGGACTGCTTTGACACAATTGGACATCCATCGTCGGGGATGGAGATCCGAGGGTCTTCCGTGGCGCGGGCGGGGAGGACAGGCGAGCTTCTGAAGACGCTGGTAGAGTTACTGGGGAAAGGACTGACATACTGGGACCTCAGCTGATACTGCTGCTGCAGCGTCATGGTGTTCCACAGGGTGACATCATTGGGCAAAAAGGGGCTTGACTGGTTCCTCGCCAAAGTATTCCTCAGCATCAGCGGGTACCGGGGCGGCTGGGGGAAAGGGTGCTGCAGAGGCACCGCCAAGGGATTGGGGACAACGTTACTAGAGTCAGCAGAAAATCTCAACGTGTCTGGGACTCGAAAGGCCGACCCCACAGACCATTTGGAAGAGGAGATGGGGTAGGAGCTCAAGGTGTGTTCAAAGATGTGCCCGTTGGAGGGCAGCACGAGGCTCTCGGGTTCTGCAGAAGTTCGCTCTGCTCCCGTGACGGAAGACCGGCTGGACAGAAGGACTTCCACAGCACTCACTAGGTCCCCGCCACAGCCCTTGAGGATGAGCTCAAGCACCGTTGGCTTCTGGTTGGGGAATATCTTTTTTAACACTTCGAGTGGTGGTCTGTTGGCTTTCAAGCTGAAGGGCAGAGAAACAGTCCCCGATGGGCCCTCAATCAAGAGGTGATTCTGCTCCCCATGGTACTTGGGGCTGTCAGGGCGGCTCTCGGGGTTGCCTCCATTTTTCTGGACAGCATACCCTCCTTCATCCACAGACACTATCTCGGGGCTCTCAGGGGTGAAGCAGCTCTTACTCTTCACCACGTCTGGGGAGCTTCTCTGGTCAGTATCTTTGTCGCTGAAGACCTCAGTATTATCGGCTGAGCTGCCGTCCCCCATTCGTTCTTCAGTCAAATCTGGAAAACAGAGAACAGCTGAGTTAATCCTTTCCTGGTGTGCATAAAGAAGAACAGATGTGCTCAGAAGAGCGCAGTACACAGGCTTTTTGGAAGAGGAAATGCATCCCCGTGGGGCATTCCATACTGCAAGCCTTTTAAAAAATCCAAACTATGTCATTGGTAAAAGTTTGTTTTTAACCTGTAAATAAAGGTTTAGAAATCAGATTTCTCAGAATGCTGTATGCAAGGAAGCTTGCTTTAAACACAGAATGGCTACGTGAACACATCACCATGGAAGCCGTGGCTTTCACAGCAGTAACATTCTAAATAGAGAGCCTCTGCAGGACTGGGGAAGACTTGTAGTAGAGCAAAGCTCAGGCAAAAACAGGAAAATGAACTTAGGCTTCTCTTCAGGTTCCTCTTCTGTGGATGGAGTGCCCCATTGTAACCTTGGGACATCACTGGCTGGTGCACAACCTAGATACTCGTCAGGGAATTCTAATATTTTAAATCCACTTCTCTGCAGGCTGACTTTGAGTTAAATATGTCTTATAAACCAGTTAGTATGTGTCATTACGTTACCAAAGACAAGAACTAGCTAATGTAATTGCTGGGTACAAGAACGATACCTCTGTACATTGAAGTCTTTCATAAAATGCCATTTGAGGGATCGACAAACTTGGTTGCCTGTCACTTGCCCTAGAGGGCAAATAAGAGCAGTTGTGAATTATAGAAGGTGGGACAGGTTGCTGGAGAGGAAAAAGGAACTGGCTGAAAAGGGTTTGAGAAATTTCACAGGAACATTACCCATTAATGAAATAATGCTTCCCCAAGGCCAGGACCACGGGTGGCAAGAGGAATAAGTATGTACATACTTTCATTATTCAAGTTCACGGAATGGACTTAAAGATGCCTTTTTGTATTATATTTTTAAAAAGAGAAGGATAAAAGACTTCCCAGATAAGCAGAGACTTGCTACGAAGTAACCAGTTGCAAATTTGACATTTTGACCTAAGATATGACCCCAGAAGGGCTGGGATATTGCAGCGCTGAGCAGGCAGAAAGGAGTAGGCCAGAGTGATTTGTTTTGCAGTGATAAATTCGAACAGACCTTTATGATAAAGGAACATACTTTTTAGTATCAAGCTACATGCAAAGAGATTTTTACCCCCTTTTAAAAACATTTACTGACTGTGGCTACTCAAAGCCAGGGTAACTTTAATCTAAAGATGAAAATTCTTAATGAACCAGTTGTTGGGTAGTAAACAATCAGTTTGCCTGTGTTGTCTAATGCCCTGCCTGAATAGCCTCATTGTCGTCCTCTCTGTGGGTACACCTGATTATGTGCAGATAGCCAGCCGGTGAAATTTCATCAAAGCAGCTTCTAGAAACCATCCCCCCTATTTGTTGTTGTTTGTTTTAAAAGCCTTAAACAAAGGCCTATCTATGAACATTTTTCTAATACGAGATATATCTTAAGCATAACTGAAAAACAAAACTTTGGTTCTTCACAAAGCAATAAATATGAGCCAAGCACTAATGAATACATTTTAAAATATTCTTAAATTATATCAGGCAACTTTCAATTATAAATGTGATATGTATTCACACTTACCCCAAATTTACATTTTAATTAAACTGCTTCTTTTTTTTTTTTTTTTTTGAGTTGGGGTCTCACTCTGTTGCCCAGGCTGGAGTGCAGTAGCACACTCACAGCCACCCCAGCATCGACCTGCTGGGCTCCGGCAACCCTTCCGCCTCAACCTTCCAAGTAGCCAGAACTACAAGCATGTGCCACTATGCCCGGCTAATATTTGATTTATTGAAGAGATGAGGTCTCACCAAGTTTCCTGGGCTGTCTAGAACCCATGGGCCCAGGCAATCCGCCTTGCCTTGGCCTCCAAGTGCTGGGATTACAGGCTGAGCCACTGAGCCCAGCCTAATTAGACTGCTTCTTTTGACCATAAAATATAAGGTTGCCAGTGTGAGATTCACTTGCAGCCCACACATATGAAGTTATCTTTGCTTTTTATAATAACTCTAGGATATACAACAGACCTATTCTTGTAAAAAAAAAAATTTGATGTATTCGCTCCTAGAACTTCTGAGGACAGAGGATCCAGGTTTTACCTCCCAAATTAATGTAATATTTGAACTTCATGCCCTTGATCCAAAAGAGAAAAACATCAACAAAAAGCCTTCTAAAGATGTACATTTTAATCAGCTAGACTTATTTAAGTTTTCCTGACTCGTGACCCCATACATACCTCTTGGCTGTTAATGCTCATTATAACCTTGAAAATGAGTGGACAGTGATCATATGTTAGCTCAGCACTGAAACGAATACACGATTGGATTTTGGCCCCTGTTCAATGGAGTTTGGGAATATAAGTCAAATACCCTCTGTCATGTATGAACATAAAATAGTGTTTTAACAAAAGCTTATGTACCTCTACACAGCTCTCTTATTTCTTTCTTTCTTTTTTTTTTTTTTTTTTTTTTTTTTGAGTCAGAGTCTCACTCCATCTCCCAGGCTAGAGCGCAGTGACATGCTCACAGCCACCCCAGCATCGACCTGTTGGGCACCAGCGATCCTTCCACCTCAGCCTTCCAAGTAGCCAGAACTACAGGTGTGTGCTGCCACACCCAGCTAATTTTTTATTTATTGTAGAGACGAGGACTCGCCAAGTTGCCGGGGCTGAACTTGAACCAGCAGGCTCAGGCAATCTATTTACCTCAGTCTCCCAAAGTGCTGGAAATTACAGGCTGAGCCACCGAACCTGGTGCTCTTATTTCTTTTAACTCTAGTTTATATTATTATCAGCATCAAGTATTTATATCCCTGCAAGATACTAACAAAAACAGAATAAAGGGTAGAAAATACTATACTAGGAAGTGTAAGACCCACCTCTAACTTGTAGACCTTATTTTCTAGCTGGAGAAATAAGAGGCACATGCAGGAGAAAAAGCAAACTGGATCAGGTAGGATTTGCTAAGCATCAGATGTAAGCACACTGTACACCAATGTTCACAGCAGCATTATTCACAATAGCCAAAAGGTGGAGTCAACCCAGATGTCTATCAATGGATGAATGGATAAATAAAATGTGGTCTATACATACCATGGGATATTATGTAGTCTCAAAAATGAATGAAATTCTGGAGGAACCTTGGGGGTATTGTGCTAAGTGAAATAAGTCGGACATAAAGAACAAATATTGTATGTTTCCACTTATATGAGGTACCAAGAATTGGCAAGTTTCATAGAGATGAAAAGTAGAACCAGGTTACCAGGGCTAGGGGAAGAGGGAATGGGGAATTACTGTTTAGTGGATACGGAGTTCCAGTTTGGAATGAAGAAGTTCCGGAGACGGGTGGCAGTGATGGTTGTACAACATTTGTGTACATTACTTACTTGAAGTACATTAGGTATACTGAACTGAATACATAAAAATGTTTAAAATGTAAACTTCATGTTATAAATATTTTACCACAATAAAAAAAGAAAAAAATATAACACACAGTGTCAAAGCAATATAGACAATGCCGAGATTTTTTTTAACCAAGAGAAACAACAGTTCTTGAGAAGAGTATAAAAGCATAGCTAAAAAGTTCAAAAACTACTTTTAAAGAAATGTGTGAACCTAAAAATAGCTCTGTGTTTTAAAAGATAAATTTTCCCCATCTTAGATGTCTTTCAAACACTAAAAACACATCAGAAAAGTTTTTTGAGATCTATCAGCCAAATTTACTCTTCCAGAACACATTTCAGGTTCCAAAAGAAAGCGATTCAAAGAGAAGGAGGTTACTGAGAGGGAATTAGAGAGTGAGGTTCTGACTAACCCAATGAATCTAGCGTTATAAAAATGGAATACTTCTTTCAAGGTGGCAACAGATATACTATCCCAATCAACAATGGATGGCAGGATTATAAGGCTGACAATACAAAATCCCACTTCTGCACCTATTTTCCTAAGTTCTGCAGAACAGAATTTTATATGGCTGCCAGTTTGTTCAGCAACTGTGAATCTACAGACTGCAAAAGTCACTTTCTCATTTTGTTGTGTTGACCTTTGCTCCTGCTACTGGGACATGTCAGCACAGCACACCTTCTGGTTACTCGTCAAGGAGTAGTGATAGATTGTGCTGAATCATCTACTCTCTCCACAGGTTTCTGGGCTGACAGGCCTCTACAATCACATGTCCGGCTGTGGTCAAAAAATGAGGAAAACTAAAAGGATGTCACAGGTCTTGTGATATCTACAAATTCAGGGTACGCCACCCAACAGAGCTCAGCATTGTTTACACTGTGCTCAAAGGGAAGACAAAAGACGATGAAAGCAGCAACAAGCAGGACACACCTGTGGGGTTCAGGCACCTGAGCAGCACATTAAGTCCTGCTAAGGGGTGAGTGTCAATATCCAAGGCTGTTGGGCTTTCAAAACTGGGCATAGGGAGACTAACGCCTCCGTTTGCACCAGGAATAACTCCTCACCCAACAGTAATTTATGAAGAGCAGAATATACAGTCCCTGCAATTTTGTGGCACTATGGTGTCTAGTACTGGTTGTATTACTGTACCTAAACTAAATGTATTGTCAATTATTCTATTATAAATATAGACTTTCACCACTAATTATAGAGGGTGAGTTTTGAGCCCAGTGATAAAGTGTAATTTAATAACAGGTGTTTCTTTACATCTCCAGATTTCTTCCCAAATGAACTTTAAAATTGTTCAAGTTGGTTTAAAACATAAAGGCCTTTGTAGATATAGAAATGTGAGACTGCCAACTAATAAAATGAAACAGGAAGCACTCCCCAAACATTTTACCTTCTTTCTTCTTGAAACTGAGACCCAAATTCCTAGGACATAAAGACTACGAATATACTTCAACGATAACATTTTTACCCCAAGTATATGGGTGCAGAAAGTCAAAACTACCAGTCACAAAGGAGAAGAAATCAATTTTATCTGCCATTACAAATCAGTTATTGAAAGTAATAGAATCCTGTCTGAGGATGGGGAGACACCTCTTATCAACAAGGGTGCCTGAACGAAGCATATTTGTATACCTAACCCTTAACTGTGCCCCACAATATCATAATAAAAAATATTGATTATAAAAAAGAAAGTAATAGAATCTTCCGAATTGCTAAACATGTAGATATTTTAAAAATCTTACTAAATATTCACTCCTCAATTTCATATTTCATGAGG